CCTACAACAGTGCCATGAGAGACACGACTGCGGTCCGTGCTGCTGGATGGGGGCTGGTCTGGACTGGCTACGCAGATGCCATCACAGGGGCTTCACGCCCTGGTCCTAAAGAACAGAATCCTTTGAAGGAAATGATCTGTGGCTTAAACTGTCAAGAAAGACAGATGGGTGATTTTCAAAAAATTTAAAGAGCCGGTCTCATGGGCTGGGGGTTAAGGCAGCCTGATCCCACATGGCTGACGGTGGTTCGAATCCTGGCCCAGGCAACTTGAAAAACACACTGGTTGCAGATATGTGGGTGCCCAAAATCCTGAGAGAAGAGAGAGCTGAGGGGGGCACTGTGTTACAACTGTCCCCATGGGAGTGCTTTCTCCCTCTCCCTCCTCTCTGTCTCTCTCTAGTGAGCACACATGTCCTCTGGCAATTAAAAAAGAAAGTCCAGTCAGCCAGCCAGTCACCAGCCAGCGAGCCAGCGTGGCGCCAACCTTAATGGGGAAAATGTCCAAGTGAGGATATGGTGAAAATATGAAGACGCGGAGAAGGATAATGAGCAGGAGGAGAGGATGGAGGGCTGGCAGACTGGCTGCTACAGGGGGTGCAGGGCTGAGGTAAACAGGGAAGAAAAAGACCTGGCACTTCCTGATTGTCCCCTGCATCCTCGGGAAGGGCAGATAGAGGTGTTAGAATACTAATTTTTGTAAAAAGGCACAGGCAAAGTCATTTGATAGGGGTTTCAAGACTTGAGAACCACCAGCCTTCCCTAGGAATAGAAGCCATCCTTGGAAAAGACCATGAAGAACTCGAATCAGTTATGGGCTCCCTCAGTGGCCTTACTGTGAGGGTAGAAATCGACATTCTAATATGAACTGTAAACTGAACAATCAGGAAACGACTCCGAACACCAGCAGGTGCAGGCAGAGGTGGAAAAAAACAGAGGTGAGAGGCTCCTGCCACTACGTGCTTCCCTGACATTTCCGCAGGCACCCAACCCCTACCCCTGCACTGTGACCGGGACAGAGAGCTGATGGTGTGGCCCCAACCACCGACCGCAAAGCTCACCCTTTACCCAGGGAGCCAGTTCTCCTGCCAACTCATCAGATCCCCACATGCAGCAAAGATCCCCAGACTGCGATAGGGGGCTCTGATGGCCACAGGGGAAGGAACGAGGAAGCATGTTTTATTCACTATTTGGACAAGCGGTGAGAATTCCCTCTCCTAACCGGTTGCTAACAGGTCGGGCAACTTTGACTTCATCCCCTGCTGCCACTCTGTTAGATCAGAGGCCGCTTCCTGTTCAGACTGATGGTGATTCCGCTTTAATTTTGTTATCATGATTTTAGTATATTTTGCTTTAGGGCAGAAAAGACTTAAACTGATTATTCAACGGTTTAGAAAGTGACAATTAGGAACTGACTCCACGTACTTCCACGTACAGTATGGACGGCTGAAGGACAAATAATACGCATGAGTCCAAGGCTTGCCCCAGGCCTCAGGGCCAGCAGGGGGATGCGGCCCTAGCTACAAGCATCCTCCTCCAGGGAGGGTCTCCCCACACTGGGGAGCTGACCTCAGCAGGGAGAATCATTACAGAAGTGGATTTTGTGCCTTGTCACTTTTTCTGCAAGTCAGAACTGGTTTTGGAAAAACAGCTTAACCAAGTGGCAACACCCCTGAAACCAGGGGGCAGAAAGTGGTATGTGGGGAACACAGAGCCTCTACAAAATCTGGAAAGGAGACTTCAAAACTAGATAAAAATCTCAGGTTACCCCGAAGCCTGAGGCTGCAGGGAGGCTCATCCTGGAGTAGGGAACAGACCAGCATCCTGGTGATTTCTGATGGGAGACTAGGGTTATTACAAGGTGGGAACTCGAGGTACCATGGCAGAACATTCTCAACCTGAAATCTGGCATTCAAATAGCAAAGGCTGAGCTTCCTCATGGACTGATTTCTAAAATGAAGAGGTGGATGAGAAGCCTACGTGTGTGGCCAGGGTGGAAAAACAAGTAGGAAATGAATAAAAAGCCATAGAGAAGAGAATGTGGTTGTAAAGTAAGCCATGTTATGAGTCCAAGGCTTGCCCCAGGCCTCAGGGCCAGCAGGGGGATGCGGCCCTAGCTACAAGCATCCTCCTCCAGGGAGGGTCTCCCCACACTGGGGAGCTGACCTCAGCAGGGAGAATCATTACAGAAGTGGATTTTGTGCCTTGTCACTTTTTCTGCAAGTCAGAACTGGTTTTGGAAAAACAGCTTAACCAAGTGGCAACACCCCTGAAACCAGGGGGCAGAAAGTGGTATGTGGGGAACACAGAGCCTCTACAAAATCTGGAAAGGAGACTTCAAAACTAGATAAAAATCTCAGGTTACCCCGAAGCCTGAGGCTGCAGGGAGGCTCATCCTGGAGTAGGGAACAGACCAGCATCCTGGTGATTTCTGATGGGAGACTAGGGTTATTACAAGGTGGGAACTCGAGGTACCATGGCAGAACATTCTCAACCTGAAATCTGGCATTCAAATAGCAAAGGCTGAGCTTCCTCATGGACTGATTTCTAAAATGAAGAGGTGGATGAGAAGCCTACGTGTGTGGCCAGGGTGGAAAAACAAGTAGGAAATGAATAAAAAGCCATAGAGAAGAGAATGTGGTGGTAGAGTAAGCCATGTTCTTTTTAAAAATTATTTTTAAGAATTATTTTATATTTATTTGTTTGTTTGTTTGTTTATGTAAATTTGACCAGAGAGAGAAAGTGAGAGAGCAAACCACCAGGTCCAGGACTCAAACCACAGTCAGCCATGTGGGAGTCCAGCGCCCTTAACCACCACGCCACCTGCCGGCCCCAAGTAAGCTATGTTCTAACAACCCCATGCCACATCAATGTTGGCCGCCAGCTCACAGCATTGGCACAGCTGAGTGGTTGTGACAGACACCATGTGACCCACAAGGCCTAAACTCTTTGCTCTTTGGTCCTTCATGAGAAAGTCTGCCAATGGCTAGTCTAACCCCTGCCTTGGAGGCTGCCCTGACTCTGGGCAGGTGGTGCAGGCTATGACATAATGGGCCCCTCCTGGCAAGCAGAGACCCGCCCCCTCCAGAAAACAAAAAAACCTGCTACAGCACCTGAACCACTTTTTATTCACAAGGGACTGAACAGAAGATAATGAGAGCACCAAGGTCCCTCGAGAGTAGCACAAAGGGAACAAGTTGACGATGCCAAGAGGCACACGACTGTGTCCTGGTCCCCAGAAATGCATTGTCCTTTCAGAGATGGGTCCCCCAAAGGGCCTGGATCCTACAATAATATCTCTGAGAAGCTGCCTTCACTGGGTGGCACCCCAAGTTCTGGTGGTGAAGTACAGAGGAGACGATGAAAAGCGGCACCTATCGCTGGGTTTGCTACAGCGGGTATATGTGAACATGACCTAGATTACCCTCGAGCATCACTTCATGAATCCATCGGTGGGCATGCGAGTATGCTCACCCACCTATAATTTCCTATGAAAGACTCCAAATTAATAAACATAAGAGTGGTCTTGAAAAAGTTCATGAAAAATGTATATTACAAAAAAGCTATGCATAGATTTCAAAAATGTTTTGCACCGAAATAATTTTAATTCTATTTTTCTTTTTCTTTTTTTTTTCTTTTTTTTTTTTTTTAATTTTTCTTGTTTGTTTGTCTTCAGAGATTTTTGCTATAGGATGCAGGTGCCAGAGAGACAGAAAGACAGAAAGCGAGAAATCACCCCCAATGGGGATGGCCATGCTGGCCAATCCCTTCTCCTCCATTCTTCTCTTGGGATTTTGGGCACACATGCACACATACCCGGCGTGAGTTTTAAGCCACTGGGTCCAGGACTCGAACTGTGGTAGACTACGTGAGAGTCCAGTGATGTAACTGTTGCACCATCTGCTGGTCCCTGTTTTTTAAATTACCAGAGGGGAAGTAGGCTTGCCAAAGAGAGACAGAGACAGAGAGACAGAGCCAGAGTGAGAGAAAGGGCACAGACTACTGGGGCACAGACATGCCATAATTCTCCATTTCTCCATCTTGCTGGAATTTTAGGCAGGCACACAGGCTCACTATCCTGTTTATTTTTCAAGCTATAGGGCCAAAACTTGAATTGTAGTTGGTCATGTGGGATCTGGCTCCCTTAGCCACTAGGCTATAGGGCTGGCTCTCGAATTCCATTTTTCTATGAACTTTGTGAACTCCTCTTATCTATATATGTACAGGTGGTTATTTAGAACTCATACCAACAATTTAACCATACAGAGTATTCACAGCTAAAGATTGATTGATATGTGTATTTTTAAATTCCTAGTTGTGGGACTGGCAGGTGGTGTGGTGGTTAAGGGCGCTGGATGCCTACATGGCCAACCACGGTCCAAGGACCGGATTTGGAAGCTCACTTTCTCTCTCTCTCTCTCTCACTCTGTCCCTCTCTGGTCAAATTAGAATTAATTAATTAAGTTAAATAAAATGATTCTTTTTTAAAATTTTAATTCATTCATTCATTTTATTTTAATTTGACCAGAGAGAAACACACATACAGAGAGAGAGAGAAAGAGAGAGAGAAAGTGAGAAAGCAAGCTACCAGGTCTGGGACTCAAACCATGGTCAGACATGCGGGAGTGCCCAGGGCCTTAATCACTGTGCCACCTGCTGGTTCCCAAATAAAACAATTCTTAAAAAAAGTTTCTAGCTGCGATAACAAGCAAATCTTTCCGCATACAACTTTGTTTTTAAAAATATACACACTATAAAAATTTATGTATCTACATTAACCAAGACCTTTTATCTATAGACCTTGCAGATGTGGTCTCCCATCCCTGCCATGCTGAGGATGACAGGTATTGGTCCCAGCCCATCTGCCATTCTCTCACTTGCATCTGAGGCCATCAGAGAAGGGAGATGCTCTCCGAGACTATGTGGAAAGAACCGACCGCCCTGGGCGCCCATCGCTGTGACTCGGGGAAGGACTTACGAGTGAGGCCCTGGTTGTGTTTACCTTTTCTGAACGGCTCCCGGCTCTCCTCCGCTTCTCTGTTGATTCGATTCTGTTCTGGCTCAACCGCAGGCCCCTGTTCTTCAAGTTCATCTTCTGTTTCATCATCACTGTAGGGAACCACCTCATCATTAGGCTGGGAATCCTCCTCGAATGTTGTTTCCGAGTCTCTTTCCATATTCATTCTGCTGGCAAATTGGAACTACCTGGCAGAAAAAGGAAACCAGATGGAATCAGGACTCTTGCCCCATTTTTGGTTGAATCCCAGTGTCACCCTGTCATGACGCCACTGTAACAAAATAGTCTCTTAGGAATATGTAAATATTTCTGAATAATGACTCATACATTCAACTGAACATTCAAAGAAAAACAAACTCATTCATTATTGATTAAATGCTTTGGTATGAAATAAGAAAAAAGAAAGTAGAGGTTTTTTTTTTCTTTTTCTTTTTCTTTCTTTTTTCTTTTTTTTCTTTTTCTTTTTTTTTTTTGAGAGGTTTTTGCTATAAGGCGCTTAAAAAGAGAGAGAGACAGAGAGACAGGATGAATCACCCCCCCCCCCGGGGGGATGGCCACATTGCAATCCCTTCTCTTCCATTCTCCTCTCAGGATCTTGGGCACACACATACATGTACACACCCGGCATGAGTTTAGGCCACCAGGTCCAGGACTCAAATCACAGTTGACTACATGGGAGTCCGGTGATGTAGCCATTATGTCCCTAGAGGTTGTGAAGAAGTTCCCCATTGTAATTTCGACTTGCATTTCCCTAATGATTAATCTTTTAAGGGTCTTCTTTTTTTTTTTTTTTTAAGAGAGATTTTTGCTATAGAGTGTGTGTATTCACCGGAGAGAGAGACAGAGAGACAGAAAGTGAGAAATCACTCCCCTGGGAGGACAACCACATCGCAATCCCTTCTCCTCCATTCTCCTCTCAGGATCTTGGGCACGCATGTACACACACCCAGCATGAGTTTGAAGCTGCTGGGTTTGGGACTCAAACCGCAGTCAACCATGTGGGAGTCCACCAACATAACCATTATGCCATCTGCTGGTCCCAAGGCAGTATTTCAAACTGAGGTTCTCTACCCAATGAAATAAAATTAGTGGGTCACAACTAACATTAAAAAAAAAATGTAAGACTACAAAATATCAGAGTACAGCATACATGGTACATACTGTTAGATAAACATTATTACAACATAGACACATCTACGTACTTATTATTATGGGTATTAATGGAATTGAATTTCTCCTTGAGGATTGTTGGCAAAGTTGGAAAATCACTGTGTTCAAATATCTGGTTTCTGCTAGTGCTAATATTCTGAGACTTAATTATGTGACATATTTTTAAAAAGAGAGTTATTTATTTAATTTTAGTTATTATTATTATAGTATTTTATTTTGCTATAGGGCACATGCTCTCACAGAGGGGATGGGGAATGAGAAAGCAAGCTGTCAGGTCTGGGACTTGAAACATGGTTGACCTAAGGGAGTCCAGTGCTTTAATCATCATACCACCTTCTGGCCCATATTCTGTGTCATATTTTTTTAATACTTTTTTTTTTAAGATTTTTAAAAAATAATTATTTATTTTATTTTATTTTATTTTATTTACTCATTCATTTATTATTATTATTATTTTTTAGTTTGACCAGAGAGAGACAGAGGGTGAGACTGAGAGAAAGAGAAAGTGAGAAAGCAAGCCACCAGATTCAGGACTTGAACCCTGGTCGGCCATATGGGAGTGTCCAGCGCCTTAACCACCATGCCACCTGCTGGTCCCTCTGTGACATATTTTAAATATAACCTCAGATTCTCAGAGTTTACTAATGACTTCCTAGGAGCACTCCCTCGCCTTTCTATTTTCATAACTACCACTGTCTATTCTCTGTACCTACAACTTGTGTTTGTGTATCTATTGTCTAAAGTTACTCTACACAGGTAACTAGAACATAGGACCAGCAGGTGGCATGGTGGTTAAGATGCTGGACACGAGAACCAGCAGTTAGCGTAATGGCTATGTCGCTGGACTTCCATGTAGTCGACAGCGGTTTGCATCTTGGACCCGGTGGCTTAAAACTTACACTGGGCACGTGTGCGTGCGTGCCCAAGATCCCAAGAGGAGAATGGAGGAGAAGGGATTGCAGCATGGCCATCCCCCCTGGGGGGTGATTTCTTGCTTTCTGTCTCTCTGTCTCTCTCTGTCTGTCTGGCAAGTGCACGCACCCTATAGTGAAAACCTCTCCAAAAATAAATAAATAAATTAAAAGATGCTGGACACTCCCATATGGCCAACCACAGTTCAAGTCTTGGACCTGGTGGCTTGCTTTCTCACTTTCTCTCTGTCTCTCTGGTCAGATTAAAATAAATGAATAAATAAAATTAAATAAATAATTCTTTAAAATAAGTAACAAGAACCTTAGCTCTGTTTATAGTAGGAAAATATTTTCCCAAGTAACTCAGAGTACGCAGCCTGGCATTACTTCCATAAGCATCCACTTGCCCTATATTCAATATTGTTAAGAGCAGTAGTTCACACCTACTGTTAACGTCACGTGAGGCTCTGCACAGCATGTTTTACACACATTGATTAGTTGAACTTTCCATGCCATCTTGATAAAGGTATGAGGATGTGTTGAAAAGTTTGTGGGGGGAGCTGGCAGATGGCATGGTGGTTAAGGGCTGGATTCCCACATGGTCGACCACCGCTCAAGACATGGTCGACCACAGTTCAAGTCCCAGACCTGGCAACTTGCTTTCTCACTTTCCATTTCTCTCTTCCTCTGGTCAAATTAAAAAAATAATAATAGCAAACAAAATAAATTTTTAAAAAAGTTTGTGGGAAAATAGAATTAAAATATGAATTTATTTTCATGCAAAAAATCCTGAAATTAATAGTCTTTTCATAACATGTACTTCCCATGAATTTTCTGAAGCCTCTTCATGCTATCATTATTCCTACTCTACAGAGGACAAGATCAAGATTCTGGGATGTTAAACAACTTGCAAAATCATTATTAAAATTCCCTGGCGAAAGCAATTACACAAAGCGTCATTATCCCATCTTATAACTAAGGAGAATGAGTGGCAAAGTCAGGACCTAATCTTCTTTACGGGGCATGTAAGACACTGAAAAGTCTTTAAAGCACCACTATAAAAGGTTTTTTGTTTCTTTTTGTTTTTTAGGTTTTTGCAATAGGATGCTTGCACTCACTGGACTGAAACAGAGAGAGGGAAAATGAGAAATCTCTTCTAGGGGGGATAGCCATGCCACAGCCTTTTCTTCTCCATTCTCCTCTTGGAATGTTGGGCATGCACACCTATGTGCCTGATGTGATTTTCATGCCACCAGGTCCAGGACTTGAACCATAGTTGGCCATGTGGGAATCCAGCACCTTAACCACTACACCACCTGTTAGCCTGCATTTCAACTATTTTAAAGTATAGAGTTCAGTTGCATTAAGTAAATTCTATGGAGAAACCATAAACAACCACTTTCAACATTGCTCCTGAGCTGCCAGGCATCTAGATACCTGTTTGCCATGTTAGGACTGTATCCAGCCCTTCGAGGCTGAGGGAGGAGGCGGACATACACAGAGGAAAGGCCTGGCCAACCCACAGGTACGCGGGCCAAAGTAAGCACTGCGTTGCATAAGGCACCCTCGCCACCCACGCAGATCTGTGCAGGCAGAGTTAGAAAGCAGAGGCGGAGCGTGAAGGGGATGGCTTCAGCTCACGATCTCGGGTATGGTATATATATGAAATACAGACATGCGTGAGAATCATTTAGTTCTGCCACTTCTTTGAAACCCTAAGGGACACAAGGAGGTTTCCAGGTCCAAATCATGATCATTGAAGGCAGGCACGGTGTACGGTATGGATTGGAAACTACAGCGCCTCTCCCCACCACTGCAGCAGCTGCTGTGCACTTCTGGGTGCAAACACCACACCAGGCACTGGGAACAGAACCACTCAGCAACTTCCATGTTACTGAGAGATATGGATGAGTAATCAAAGACAGAGAGGAGACAGACCAAGCCAGTCATTTCTGCCCCAAACACACCACCAATCCATCCCCTCTTCTCCATCTCCACAGCCACTACCCCTGGTCAGGCCATCATCATCTCTCTCTTGAAATACTGCAAGAGGTCTCCCACTGGACTGCCCACAATCAATGTCCACATGGCCACCAGAGTCCAGTCGTTCCCCTGCTTAGACCCTTTCTATGTCGAATAGATTGAATCGCACCACTCTCGCCCTCCAACTTGTAGGCTGAAGCCCTCGACAGCTCAGTCTGACTGCATTTGCAGACAGGGTCCTGAAGGAGGTAATTAAGGCTAAGGTCATCAGGGTGGGGCCCTGACCCAATAGAACTGATGTCCTCATAAGAAGAGGAACAGGCACTGGCGTCTCTCCCTCCACGGGCACGCAGAGAAAAGGCCATGTGCCGTCACAGCTAGATGGCAGCCATCTACAAGCAGGCAAAGGCTTTGCAGAAACCACCCTGACCTTGGACTTCCACTTTCCAAACGGAGGAAACACGTGTCTACTGTCTAAGTCACCAGTCCGTGGTATTTGGTAACAGCAGACCAAACACACAGGACACTACGGTTTCCCAGCATGCTTTAACTGACATCTAATTCCTCCCCCAGTTTCGAGAGCTCCACACACGCCTCCACCTTGCTCCTACTCTTCAGTCGCAAAGCCATTTCTGCCTCGGGACCTTTGCATGTGGTTTCCTTTTCTTTCTCCTTCCTTTCTGCTTTGCTTGAGGTCATGGGCACTTGCCGAGAGATGGAGAAAGAGACGGAGAGAAAGTGATGAAGCACCACTCCTGGAGAATGGTCATGTCACAATCCCTTGTCCTCCACCTCTCCCTTAGGGATTTGGAGTGCGTACACATGCGTGCACATGCATACACACACACACACACACACCCACATGCCTGGAGCGTTTTTCAAGCCACTGGGTCTGGGAGTTGAAACACACAGTTGGCCGTGTGGGATCCAGCTGCCTTACCTGCTCTACCGGAAGGCCAGCATGTACTTTTCTTACAGCCTGAATGTTCTTCCGCCACGCCTGGCATAACTGCTACTTCTCACTCTTTGGGTCCCAACTGCAATGTCCCCTCTTCACTGATGGCACTGAGCAGGGTCTCCTTCCTCTTCCTGCTGCCTGTGGCCTCACTTATTTCTATCTTAGT